AGGCGTCCAAGCACCTAATAATGAAGTATCTGTCCCTTCCAATCCTTCCTACTGCTGTCAAAAGAACCCTCTAGAACGTGAACCCAAATGCAAAGGCCCCGCCCAAAACCCAAGATCACCCACTGCCCTCAGCATCAAGTCCCAGCTTCTCAACAAAGGAGTCTTGCTTCAGCCCCCTGCCTTATCTCCTGCTGTCCTGTAGCCACTGCAGACAGATGTAACCATTTGCCCCATGAGACTTCCACGCCTTTGCTCAGGAGGCTAACAGGCATATGAAGCGATATCCAAACTCAGTAATCAGAGAAATGCAAAACAAATCATGACAACAAGATGTCACTTTACATATATTAAACCAGTCAACATTAAAAAGTTGGACAATGTTAAGAGTTGGCTGCAGTGTGGGGATACAGGAACCCTGAGCACTGCTGGTGGGAGTGAAAACTACACAGGCATCTTGGAGAATGTCTATAAGTAGTAAAACTAAGTATAGGTATGTGCTATACCTTAGCAATCTTATTCCTGGGAATACATCCCCCAAATTCTCATGAAGGTCCGTAAGGTGACACATACAAAGATGTTTATCACAGCATCCAGGGTTGGAGCAACTCAGACAGGCGTCACTGGGAGACTGGACAGGTAAAAGGTGATGGATGGATGCACACTCTGGTTGACTAACCGCATCGATGGCTCCGGTTAACCTCCCTATAACCACACCTTTGCAATATGACATTTCAGCTCCTCCCCTCAAGAGGCAGAGTCTATTTCCCCGCATTGTAATCTGGCTTGGACTGTGACTTGTTTTACCCAATAGAGTATGGTAGAAAAGACTGTGTGGAAGTACAGGCCTTGCACATTTTACCTCTCTTGGACACCTGCCCTGCCACCATGTGACCAAGCTCATGCTAGCCTGATGAGGATGACAGTAATGTCCCAAGGCCCTCTTAAATTGTCTAGCCCCCAGGAATGAGTGATACCAGCTGAGATGAGCAAAGCCAGACCCAGATCAGCCAAACCACACAACCAATCGCAGAGACTCAACAAAAATGAGTGACTTGTTTTAAGTCACTAAGTTTGGGGTGGTTTATCACAAAGCATAACTGGTCACACCCTAAGGAGTACTATGTAGCAATCAGAAGCAACAAAATAGATGGGCCCATAGCAACATGAATTGAGTTTAACAGCACAGAATTAACTGGAAAAGGGGCCGGCCTGGTGGTGTAGTGGTTAGGTTTATGGCTCTGCTTTGGCAGGCTGGGGATTGCAGGTTTGAATCCCGGGGGCAGACTATACACCACTTATCAAACCATGCTGTGGCAGCGTCCCACATACAAAATAGAGGAAGACTGGCATAGATGTTAGCTCAGGACCCATCTTCCTCAAGCAAAAAAAAAAAAAAAGAATTAACTGGAAAAGAAACTGAATGAAATAATTTATGTCCATGCAATTGTGTTAAGATAGTCACACAAGTCAGTAATATACATTTTATTTTAAAAAATGCAAAATCAAAGATTTACATTTACATAAACATGGTGGCCACTGGTGTGGAGGGAAAAGAGGAATAAATAGGGAAACAATAAGAGGCCTCGAATGGGCCAATGATGATGCCGTACAAACTGAGTGTGATTTCTCAACCCTCCACACACAGTAGTACCTACTCATCCAGTCAGCTCCAGCCCAAACAAAGCTTCTGTTTGTAGCTTGCTGCAGCATCTTCTCTGAAACAGTTAAGGCCACTTGTAAAAGAATAAGAAAGTCCATTTACCACAGTTTTATGACTGTCTGCAGGTCAGTTTTCCTGATGAGATGGTGAGCTTTGAGTGCACAGTCTTCTTTTCTTGGAACACCCAGTGCTTCACATACTGCAAACATCTGTTGATAAAAGAACTCTACCATCCCACAAAAAAGTGCTTTTTGACCTTGGCACTACTGACATTTTTAGACGTAGTATTTCTTTGCCATCGCTAATGGTGTGTTTGTGGGTGGGGGTGCTGTTCTGTGCACCATATGATGTTCGGCAGCATCCCTGGCCTCTACTCACTAGATGCTGATAGCGTCTTCAAATGTGACAATCAAAAACGTCTGCAGGGGCCAGCCCCGTGGTGTACTGGTTAAGTTCAGTGTGCTCTGCTTCAGCAGCCCAGGTTCGTGGGTTTGGATCCTGGTCACTCAATGGCCATGCTGTGGTGGCGACCCACACATAAAAAGGATCAAGACTGGCACAGATATTAGCGCAGGGATAATCTTCTTCAAGCAAAAGAAAACTGAGTTAGATTGGTAACAGATGTTGGCTCAGGGCTAATCTTCCTCAGCAAAAAAAAAAAAAAGTGTCCATATACTGCCATATGTTCTCTGTGCATCATAATTACTCCCTGGTTGAGAACCACTGCCATGAAGGATTGGGCCACACAATGCTACAATTCTAAGATGGCACTGTAGACACATTTAATGTGTTTGAAACAAATAATGTTTGAGATTACTAAATTACATCACGCTCTATGTAACACTTCTCAAGCAGGACTTAGATTGCCAACGTTTCTCCTTCCTAGATGGTTCTCACCCACTAGCTCAAAACTAATGTTTTAGTTCACTACCCTATGGGGAAAGATGAAATACAAAATTCACTTGAGCTTTCACATCCATGCAGAAATATTTGTCCTCGTAAGTTTTAGTCAAATCTTTTATTCACAAAGTTTAAATCTGTCTCTTTAAGTCAACGGTGTACGCTGCCGATTTTTCTTTATTACACTGCAGAGGCTGTTTATCCAGCTGCTGAAAGAGACGTTCCTGCTCAATACTATGAACTAAAACGTGAAAAACCACCGGGTAACCGAGCTAAAAGAATTCTGCCTCATTTGTCTTCCGTGTGGCACCAGAGCAAACATGAGGCATTTTAATAACCTCGTCCAGACCTTCAGTAATCATTGTAGGCTACTGACTCCAGACAAATATTTGCCTTGGAGGTCTCTCTATGGAGAGACGGGGGTAAACTAAGCATCTTTTGTTCATATAGATTGAGCGTAACAATCTGGAAAGCACAGAGCACTCACACCATTCTTTCTTGCAACCATACAAATAAAGGGGCAACAGGGATGGTTCTCCACAGGTCTGACTGGACGCCCTTCCTTTTACACTTCTCCTTTCCCCCCATGCCACCTCCAACAAGAAATCAAAATAAAGCTAAGGAGAGTATCAGTGGATGCTAAAATCAATGGGCGAAAGTCTGTTGGGGAAAAGTACATTCACATGGTCTCCAAATCGGTCCCCCCAGACTTACAACAAGGGAAGTGGGCCCACTTCAGAAGAGCTGGCAGATAGCCCTGTAACCAAGTGACTAAACTTAGCGACAGCAATATGGGAACGGCCCGTTATCACGTGCCTCCTGATGTGACACAATCCGAAACGTAGAGCACCACCTAGGTAGGATTCCTGCCCGGATTGTTTACCCTGTACCTCATCCTGAGAAGAGAGACAAACCAGGCTGTGGAGCATTCTAGAAGAAAATGGCCTGGACTCTTCCAAAATGTCAATGTCATAAGACAAGAAAAGGCTGTGGATTTTGTAGATTAAAGGGGACTAAAGAAACATGACAACCAAATGCAACTTGTTGATCCTGACTGGATGCTCGAACAAAAGGTGAAGGTAAAGGACATTATTGGGACATTTTGGGAAATGTGAATGTAGGCTACATCATAGAGTATTGAACTGATGCTAAATTACTTCAGTGTGATGAAGGTATTGCAACTATATAAGAGAATATCTTTGTTCTTGGGAGAGACACCCTGACTTTTTTATGAAGTGTCATGTCTTCAACTTATTTCATAGTGATGAACAAAAAAATAAATTAAATGAATGCACACACATACACACAGGGAGAGAAAGCAAAACTGGCAAAAAGTTAATTGGCAAATTTAAATGAAGGAGTCTACAAAATTTAAGTGAAGACGTCTAAACCGTTCTTTCAGTTATCCTATGGATTCGAAAATTTTCAACATTAAAGTTGGGGGAAAAGAAAGCTAGAACTGTTGCTACCAATATGTCATCAAGCCAGAATGTTTCAGAAACGAATCACACAGGGGGAAAAAAGTACTAAGGACTAGCGGCCCAGCCTGGTGGCATAGTAGTTAAGTTCACGCGCTCCACTTCAGCGGCCCGGGGTTTGCTGGTTCGGATCCTGGGCACGGACCTGCACACCGCTCATCAAGCCACGCTGAGGTGACCTCCCACAGAGAAGAACTAGAGAAACGTACAACCAGGATATACAACTATGTAGTGTGGCTTTGGGGAGGAAAATAAAATAAATTTAAAAAACTTTTTTTAAGTATTAAGAGGCAAATATTATTTTCTGCCTCAAATCTGAAGATAAATAACCTGAGTGACTAAGTGTTTGGAAGCATAAGATTAAAAAACAAAATCTTTGAATCCAATCCAACATGTTTTAACTCTGTCACCGCATTAAGAATGAGCTGAAATCAGAAGTTTTGATGCATCAGAGCTCTCAAAAATCCTAGAGATTTCTCATCAATATGATAATGGGCTTAAAGATCTGTGCGTGCACTAAATGAATCCCAAATAAACATTAAAGTAATTTTTGTAACTTGTTAACACAACTGTTCTCCAGAGAATAGAGAGAAATCTTGCCAGGAAAGGCCTCCACTTCCCAGCAAGCAGTGACTATGAGCAACTTAGAATAAGAAGACAAAGATTTTCCATAGAAAACTTTACGTAGTTACATCCTAAATTTATATATTTTGGATTCTGGACTGGAGCAGTTTGGATACTCAATGTAAGTTCATGTAACAGCGATCAAGAACAACTTGCTGGAAAAAAGGAGAAAACTGTACAATTGGGCATGTAGCTAACGGAAGGGTTGGGGGTTAGAGAGACAAAATTAGTGTAATAGTTTAGTGGGGCCACTTAGGTGTTAAAACTTGAGATCAGGTCCTTCTTCAAAAACAGTAATTTTCTACACCTAACGCCCTGGTTCCTTCGTTCAAACTTACCGAGTCAATCTCTTCATAGCTGGGGTCTCAAAAAATCTTGAAGTTACAGGCAAAACCTGGGGGGTGTGTGCGCGTGCCTGTGTTAATGAGGAAAGTCATGTTAGCTCGCCTCAGCTCTCAACAGATCCCTGACCTCCCAAAAAAGGTGAAGGGCTAGTGTCTTTTGAAATTTGCTATAATCTCTTCTCTGGGATAGAAACACTCAAGGAGTTTCCAGAACCCACAAGTGTACTTTTAAATTCAAAAGGGCCTCTGACTCCTTATCTTCCATTTCCATCTCTCTCCCTGATGTGCTGGTCTGTCAGGGTGCCAAGTGCTTTTTGGGAGCTTTGTTTCATCTCAGCCTCCCCTGGGCCAAGGAAATCTTTGCTCGCAGACTTAAAACTAACCCTGAACAGGGAAGTGACCCTAAGGTATAGGGACAGGAAGATCCTGTTAGAGGCACTTGGCATCATAAACTGAGCAGCAAGCAAAGACAGACAACTCCATTTTGTACTTTTCCACCACGATTTGTGCCAAGCAGAGAATTAACTTCAAAGTGTTATTTTTATATATTATTATATATGATTATTTTATCTTTTATATAAGAAGTCAAACCTGGAAATCTAGATTCTAAACACAGATGAGGCTACTTTTATTTAGAAAAAAAAAATTAGAAATCAATGACTACTCAATTCCACCAAAAGCAATTTGAGTCTATTTACGTTAGAAAATTTTCAGCACCAGATGGAATGTTAATGACTACAGAGTCTAAGTTTTTCACTTTACACATGCAAAAACAAAAGTACTATGATACCCAGTGTCACATAGTTAGCTGGTCACAGACTCAAAGCTAGGAACCTCTTGACACCCTATCCAGTGTTCTCTGGGACACCACCTTAATGCCTTTTAAAAAAACCCATTTTTTCAATTCTTCTTCTTTCTTAAAACATTATCAATGATAAAAACCTCTGACTGGAAACCAAATCATTCTTGGAAAATTGTATGCGATATCAAGAATCCCCAGTGGAATGCCAACACTATACCTGAGGCGGCAACATTACAACTCTACTGAGGCCAAGCGGGGACAAGAGAGACCCCACCCCAGGGTGTCTCCCCCTCTGCCCCTCTTCCTCTACCTTCGCTCTCCCTTGACCATTTCCTGCATTTAACTGGCAGGACGGCAGATAAACTGTCAACCTTTTACCCTTATATTGAACGATTTATTGAATTGCCCTATTTTTAGTTTTAAAAACAAATTAACAGGAATTTATACATAGTTTAAAATGTCCCATGTTGCTTTTTATATATGTGGCTGTCAAAGTATAATTTTCAAAAAGTGAAACACTCGACTCTCATACAAATAGACAGAAGCACATGCCAAAGATGCACTGAACTCATTGATGAGGGACTCAGCAGGATGACAAAACTGGCGCCAAGGAGGGTACCAAAACCTAAGTGGGGGGAAAATCTGTGGAAAAATGAATGCTGGAATAGACTGGAAACTTAGATACAAAACTAAGTTAGTCTGCTGCAGGGCATAAAGCAATACCCTGGATGGTCCTTTTCAACCTGGGAGAAATCATTCATATCTTAACTGGACAAAAATCATTGGCAACTTATTAATATCAGCATCTGTTCTCATAGGGCCTGTGACTGAAGAATGATTTTTATATTTCTAAATGATTGAAAAAATCAAAAGAGGAATATCTCACGACACATGACAGTCGTATGAAATTCAAATGTCAATGCCCATAAATAAAGTCTTATTGGTACACAGTCACACACATTTGTTTATGTCATACCTATGGCTGCTTTCACAATAGTTACTGCAGAGACCTTCAAAGCCTAAAATATTTACTACCTGGCACTTAACAAAAACTGCTGATTTCTACCCTAGAACATCAGATGACCTTTGGTGGGCTTGTTAGACAATGTTCTGGTAGGATACTGAAAGGGTACTAGGTAATCCTTTTTTTGCCTTATTAACAAGTTTTGGACAAATGTTTCTTAAAAAGGACCTTCCACCAGTTCATTATGTTTTTCCCCTTGAGTCAATGACTCTATAGAAAGGAAACTCATCTCTGAGCTAGACAGAATCCTGGCATTGCTACGGTTAAACTAAAGGACTGCAACATGTTTACCCAATACAGGGTAACCTAGGCTAATATTTTCATCGATTTAAACCAATGCTCCCTTTTGAACTCTTCTCCAAAAAGGAGGGGTAGAAGGAAGAAATATTTACACTTGGAAATGGTGCCTTGACGTTCTCTCATCTCACACTGTGTGTCCAGGTCCATGGGCTGTCCTCCATGGAAATACATCGGCACTCCTAGAGGTGTGAAACCAACACAAATTTAAACTAGCAATTTGATGAGGGGCTGGATGGGAGGAGAGCAAACAAAATATGAAATCAGGATTGTTTTAGTTTAGTAAACAGAAGCTGGATGTAAGGAAAATTCCTAGCTAGGGTGTCTCTGGAAACAGACTGAGAGTTCTTTTTTTTTTTAAGTGGCACCTGAGCTAACGTCTGTTGTCAATCTTTTTTTTTTTTCTTCTTCTCCCCAAAGCGCCCCCCCCCCCAGGACATAGTTGTATATTCTAGTTGTAGGTCCTTCTGGCTCTCCTATGTGGGATGCTGCCTCAGCATGGCTTGATGAGCGGTGCTAGGTCTGAGCCCAGGATCCGAACTGGCGAAACCCTGGGCCGTGGAAGCGAAGTGTGTGAACTTAACCACTCAGCCACGGGGCTGGCCCCGAGAGTTTTAATTCTGAAAATTTTTTTAGGGGAATGAAAGATTTCAAAAAGGAAAAAGTCATGTCTCTATAGCATTTCTACTATTTTAGATATTTCAATATTCACAGAAAGTTTTTAGTTGGGAGATTACAGAGATTTCGTCAGAATTCTATGAGCAGTGAACACTGCTAATGACCGTGAAACCTGCTGGAAAACACGAACCAGACCTCTTTACCTTTGCCCTCGAGTTTCTCATCATCTTTGACTTTTAAAATGTTATTCTTTTCTGGGGCTCCCTCATAAAAAAACACTTCAAGTCCTTAAATTAGTACCCAAACTACTTCCTCAAATCCTTCCCACATACAGATCTTATTTTCCTACAGGCAGGCCTTTGTTTTAAACTGCCAAATCCCCCTCAGTTTAAGAACTTTATTTTCCCTTAACTACCACAAGCTGGTAATTAAATGTTCCTCCGGAGAAGGCTGGAGAACAATAGGAGAAATTGTTATCTTTCACCATCACGGTTTTGCACAAGATGCTGTGATGACACCAGTGGGATTTCAGACAGACAAAGCAGCCCGGACTGTCCACCCAGCGGCAAACAGGGCTGGTACCAGCTACGGCATCCGCTGTGTGAGGCCACCACTTACTCCACAAGATGAGTGTTAGTCACAAAAGTTGATTCATAGAAGAGAATGGCCTAGTTAAAATTTAGGTATAGACTGTGTCCATTCATGGTGAGGAACTGGCGTGATCCCTCTTCAAAAGTAGAGGGCAGTTTTCCTACAATCATCTTTTTACATTAACACATAATAGGAGGATTTCTTCTCTCTGTTCAGCGGCTAGACCCAGAAATCTTCCAGAAAAACAACCATTTTGGGGGAGCAAACACACAGGGAGTGAGTTAATTAAAATGTAGACCTTATGATGGGCTGCTCTGCTGCCCTCTACTGTCTAGGCCAAGGATGAACAACACACAAAGGCATACATGCACAAGTGTGCACACACACACATGCCCCTCCTGTCCCTCTGTGGTTATATTAGGAACCGCTCTTCCCTAAGAAAGACAGGGGGCCCGGCCCACGGAATCTCAAATCTGGTAGGAACCTCTGAAGCAACACAGCACGTAATGCAACCCTAAGGGCGCCATTCCCATGGAACACAATGGGAAAGAGCCCTCAGAGTTCAGCAACCCTGCAGCCCCAGCAGGTCATTTAATAAACGCTCCAGAAGAGTAAGTGACCTCTCCAGGGTCAGCGGGCCAGTAGTGGGGCCAGAAGCAAAACAAGTTGCCTGTCGCAAGGAGTGGCAAAGGAAAACCAGATGTCTAGAAAGGAAAACAGGTTCCAACGGGGCTGGCCTGAATAAAGACAAGTCAGAACACGTATCCACAGCCCATTCTATGCTTCAACTATCCATCTGTCCATCTGCCCTAACTGCGTCGGACACTTATTACAGATATAGTACTGGATGAGAGAGACATCCCTACTCCCAGGGGCGCTGAACAATTAAGGAGATTCAGACAAATAAACCGGCAATTACGATCTAAGGCTGTGGCAGACTGAAGAGAAGGAAGTCCTGATTGTTACTAAAGCACAGAGGAGGGGCAGGTGACACAGACTAGTGGCTGGGGAGATCAAGGCGGCTTCCTGAAAGAAGCGACATCTACTAGAGACCAAAAGAATACTGGCCAGGTGAAGTAGGCAAGGAAACTACTCCAGGCAAATGGAACAGCATGTGCAAAAAGAGTGGAGATGAGAAAGTGTGGGGCATTCTAGAACTTGGAGGTCCAGGGGAGCTGGGGTGTATGCAGGGTTCAGGGGCAGGTAAACCACCAAGCAACAGACAAGGCTGGAAAGGAAGGCAGGCCCCAGGCCATGCTGGGCCTTGCAGGCCATGGAGGGAGTCTGGACGCACCCTGAAAGCTATGAGGGGCTGCAGAGGGGTTTAAGCAGAGTGGAGACATGGATAGATTTGGATTTGGGTTTCCTCCACAATATTAGGCACTGAGAAGCTTCCTCAAAGAGCAGTCGTCATTCCTGTCCCCAAGGAACTTAAGTGCAATAGAGAAAAATAAATAATTATTGAAGAAATTAACAAAAAAGATGGCACTATATAAAATAGATACAGTCATGCGCCACATAATGATGTTTTGGTCAATGAAGGACCGCATATACAATAGTGGTCCCATAAGATTAGTACCATATAGCCTAAGTGTGTAGTAGGCTAAACCATCTAGGTTTGTGTAATATATTCTATGATGTTCACACAACAACAAAATTGTCTAACACATTTCTCAGAATTATCCCCTTCATTAAGCAACGCATGACTGTATATGTATACTTACTACTGTATCATTCACTTCTATTAATTGCGTCACTGCAATTGAATGCAAGTACAAAGGCAGGGATTTGTCTCTTTCCACTGCTAAATCCTCAGTTCAATGCCTAGAACAGAATAGGTGCTCCAATACTCATTGAATAAATTACCATTCACTTTATAGGATGTGAATATATTCTACACATATTTTGGTTTTTAAGGGATAGTTTGTTTTATTTTGTTTTTTAAAGGATACAATATCTGTATTACTGTGTGCAAGGACACATGGAAGACACTGCAGAAAACAGATGGATGGATCTGCTCTCAGGGAGCTGCTATTTATTAAATGCCTAGCTGCTGCTGCATACTTTATGTGGGTTTTCTTGTTGAATCTTTTCTATAGACTTACGAGGGAAGCATGGGTCCCACTGTACAGGTGAGGAAACTGAGGCTCAGAGAGGTTAATAAATATGACCAAAGACCTGCAGATGGTAAGTGGCAAAGCTGGAATTCAAAACCAGACCTGTCCGACTGTGAACTCCACCTGTCTCTGGGCAACATGACAACTGTGAGACCCACAAGAGCACAAAGCAGCTGTAGTAAGCCAGAGGGAATGCAGAGGAGGAGGAAGTGACTGGAAAGTGGGGTGTAAAGCAGAAGCAGGGAAAGTTTCTCAGAGGAGATGGCATCTAGAAGCTTCAAAGGACAGTGAAAATCTTGAAAGTGTGGAGGGAGAGCATTCCTGGTAGAGGGTGCAGCAAGAGCAAAGACCTGGAAACAGACAACGTAGGACACTTGCCACTTGGGGAAAAACAGACAGGGCTGGGTTTCACTGAGCTCCTTGTTTGTTCAAGATGAATAAGACTATTGAAATAAATGCAATGCTTTTCTATTAGGAAATGAGGCATTTCTCACCTACAGAACTGGCAAGAATCCAAATGTTTCATAACACAGTTGGTGAGGCCATGGGGAAACAGGCCTCTCAATCATTGCTCACGGGAGTGCCAAAGGGCATGACCCTCACGGAGGGGAAGTCTGGCACCAGTCACCAAGATGAGACATGTTTACCCTTGATCCAGCAGCCCACTTCTGGGGCTATACCCCACAGATGCACCTGCACAGAAAGAATGGTATATGAATAAGCTTCCTCACTGAGCACAGGTTAATGGCAGCAGACTGGAAACAAGTGCCCAACAAGATGGGACTGGCTGAATCAATTATGGCACCTCCACATAATGGAATGCTAGGCAGCTGCTAAAGTGACGACAACTTCCATGTACTGATACAGGGACCTCTAGGATATCTATACACGTAAAAGTAAAAAAATATGTAGCTAGCTAGATATCTCAGGACGAAGAGCTGTGTTATCTGCTATTTCTAAGTTTAAAAGAGGTGGGAAATAAAGATATGTAGTCACATTTGCTTCTACAGTCATGTGCAGCATAACGACGTTTTGGTCAACGATGGACCTCATATGCTATGGTGGTCCCATAAGATTAGTGCCATGTAGCCTAAGTGTGTAGCAGGCTATACCATCAGGGTTTGTGTAAGTACGCTCTATGATGTTCTCCCAACGATGAAATCACCTGACAACACATTTCTCAGAACCCATCCCTGTCATTTAGCAATGCAAGACTGCATTTGCCTAAAACAGTGGTTCTCAACCAAGGACAATTTTGTCCCCCGGGGGACATTTGGTGATGTCTAGAGACATTTTGATTGTCATGATTGGGGTTGGGGGAGCTACTGGTATGCGGTATGTAGAGGCTAGGGATGCTGATAAGCATCCCAGAATGTACAGGACAGCCCCGACAATAAGGAATTATCCAGCCCCAAATGTCAATAGTGTTAAGGTTGAGAAACCCTTGCCTAAAGAAACAACAGAAGGATAAAGAAGCAGCCTAAAACTGTCCTCTGCAAGAGACAGGGTAACAGTGGGGAGGGTGGGGTAGCAAGAGTTCCGCGCACAGCTTTTCATTATTTTGCTTTTTGAACCATGTAGACATATTATATGACTTTTAAGAAATTAAATTTAATTAAGAAAAGAGAGAGGCAAAGTTGTGATGTATGGGAAATAGGAGGAGCTCTAGACTACAACTCAGGAGCCTGGGTTTTGGACCCAACTCTGTCAGACTCGCAGTGTGTCCCTGTCTCCAGGCCCCAGCCTTCTCATCTGTGAAACAAGGCATCTCTATCAGAGGAGCTCAAGGTCTCTTCAACATCTCTGATGTCAAGTTGCCCGCACCACAAGGGGTTCACAATCCAAGGCGATGTGGGTTGAATGAGGGAGGCAGGCACTCCTACTATACACAAACTCAGGCTCAGGAATGCTGGGATTTTCTGAGTATCTTCTCCAATAATCGCCTTGAAAGACACAAAACATTCTGTTGCCAGACCAGGTTGTTACAAATCAAACCACAAGGTAAATCTGGGTAGACGATAATGAGAGCTACAGATCATTGTAAGGATTTTAAGAGATAGAATCTCACTTAACTTATTTTT